TCAGAAGTTCTGGTGATCATATTCGGAAACAGCAAGTATCTAGATCCCTACAAGTTGTAGTCCAAAAGTGAGCCGAACGTCAGTATCCCTCCTCACAGCAGATGAAAGCTCTAAAGGATTTTCAGAAGTAACTAGGCAAAAATAGAGCTATAGCATAACAAAGCGTTGCCACCCATTATCTTTAGGAATGCTTCGAGAAAACCAAAGCCACTCGAAAGTCAACAGTGCATGGTAAAAGTATTTTTAGGGTCAACAAAATTAGATAAAGTATATGTAAGGAAAGAAGTCCCAAACTCTTCCCACTGCCCGTCCTTCTTGTTTGTTCCGCAGTCGTGGAGTTTGATATTATTAGTATTAATGTCTTTATTATTCTGCACTTGTTGACAGTCGAGCGCTCGTAGTAAATCAATAAAAATTCTTTCACTCGTTAAAATGAGATTCAACGCCTCAAATTCATTAGCAACTTTTAAACAATGAAATTGAGCATAACAGTAAGCAATCAATTCCATATTTGCTTTACCCTCAATTGAATCACATTCATTCAGATATTTAGCTTGTAAACGGTTCAATTCTTGATGATACAATTGAATTAATGCTTGTGAATTTAAAGGATTTCCATCTTTCGGACTTCGTGAGCTTAAACGAATAAAACTACCATTAATTTGAAATCTATTAGTTTTTGAATTGAATATTTGCTGTTTTAACTGATATTGTATTGATTGAATTAATTCTAGATCATTTAAATTCAATAACTTTTTTGAATTGTAACGTGTTTGATAATAATTAACAAAAGCTTGAGCAATTGATGGAGAAATTGGAATAAATTCAGTATAAAATGTTTGACATTGCAAGATTTTATACCAGGCTTCAACATCAAAATGAATATGTTCACATCGCTTTAATAATTGATGCTCATACAGTTTTGTTACAGTGTTGTTATTATCAGTTTTAGCAGCAGATTTGGATACACTATCGTTACGTGTCGAACTTTGTACTTGCCCCATTATTGTTGTTGCTGTAAGTATACTGTTGATTACAAATTAGTTCCGGGAAGTTGAGAAAGATTTTTATCAAGTCACAAAAAATCGTTCTCAATCCAAATGAAACCTGTAGTAAACATCTAGAAGTGCTCGGTTGTCGTTTGAGTCATAATTCTGTATTATATTCTTTATATATATGGTAACTATTTTAGCTTTTCTTCATCGATTTGGCATTTTTTTTTTATGTCTCATTTTCATTGAAATGAATCATATTTATTCGCATAATGGTGTCATTTTTTTTTCTTAGGTTGTACTGTCACCTTTAGAGATAAAGAATGATGACGTATTTCATAACTCATACAAAATTTACGATTCTTTCACATGGCGACTTTAACTGCACACAATCAGTTGTCATACTAATATAAATAAAATATCCTGTCATCAGAATGAACGATATTGCTATAATTTTTTGGTCTAACTGTGAAAAGTAGATGCCGGTAATTTGAACTGTTTCTCTTAGCTGTTGGGAAACAGTATCGCCCACTGCATTTTCTCTTTTGTGATAAAATTGTCAATTTTGAGCTAGACGTTATGTAATATACAGCAACGATGACCAGTAAACGACTGTTTGCTCCTTCCAGTAAACTGTCTGTCCCGTCAACGTCTCATCTGTCGTCGACTATTACAAAATTTATTTATCTTTCTTTAAAAATATTTTAATAGTATATATGCAGTATATGATAGACGACAGTGACATTATAAGAAACAATAGTCATTCGTGTCGTATTACTCTACTTCCACTTCAGAAAACCGTTCATAGTACGGCTCATTAGCATTTATGAATGTTGATCACTTCCCTGCAGTTGTCCTTTGACTGACAAGAATGCCCCCATTCGGGATGGTTTACGGTCGTCACTAAAGAAACTATTATCAGTCCAGCTAAAACAAATAGAATACACTAAACTAACTTTGTTTGATCGAAAAAGTATGGGCAAACTAATTAAAAATTGATACATCTTGTACTAGATTTCGAGCTGTATTATCTGTATGAATTGCGTATCATTCAGACCTACTATTAACTAACTAATTCAAGAAAAGCATCGTTCCCTGAATAAAAATTAGTTGGAGTAAATAGGTTCGATCAGCTATTTTCAGTGGCGGCGCGAAGAAGTTAAAGCAGGGAGGGGGATGGTAATTTCAAAAACCGGAGTAAGTTCAAAAAGATTTTCCGGCGAGTTTGATAAAACAAAAGAAATAATACAAATCTGACATTTTTTCATTTCGGACTTACAGTTGTATAATCAATTACCCCCACACTTTGCAGACACACGAAGGCAGCAGCATTTTATTATTGTTCCTTCATATCTTTCACAAAACAAAATACTAAATTCTGCGACTAGATTTATTTCTGGACTAATTTTTTTCGCGTCTTCTCAATAAATTAAGTGAACAAATCTCATAATCATATACGACTACATAAAAAAGTTTAGTCACTATTCCATATTAGATATATATTTGACGAAAAAAGCGGTTCAATTACGTTTAACATTACATTGATTTCATTCTTGATTACGTATGATAGCTCCTAACTGGGCTCCAACTGAACTCGATAAAAAACATTCAAGTCCAAGACTGTCAACTAATGCCTCAGTAGGGATTTGAACCTGTCCATCTTGAGAAGGAGGTGTTCCACCTTGCTCTAGCTTTTCCCGATTTTGTCGCATTTTTGTAGCAAAGATGATCGGAAATTGGAGAAAACTATCTGCGCAAAAACCGTAAAACTTCCAAACAAAAGTTTGGCAAAATCCGAGTGAACTCAGTCCATTTTCACACAAAATTGGAGTAAGTTTCTCGTACTTTTTGCTCAAATGGGAGCAAACGTGCAAGGAAATTTCTGAAAGCAGAGGAGGTGTACCCACCCCACACACAAACGGTCTCTTCACCAACGGCTATTTTTCATTCAAAAAAACAAAACAGCGAAAACCACGATCTGCTACAAATCATAACCATCCAAATAACTACAAATTGCTACCAGATTCTAACAAACTTAATCATGATTCGATCAAATCACGAAAAACATCGCAAGATCCTATGGATAAAATGTGGGATAAAGGCAAATAAGACGCGAAGCAGCCAGTTCCTAGGTAATCGTAAACCTCTTCATCAGGATTGATATTCAGAGCTAAGAACTGGAACTGTAGAGAACTGGGGCTGTTGATTTTTCAAAAACAATTTTCTATCTAATTAAATCGAAAGACACATCACTAGATGCAGTTTTTCACGCTGCTCACGAAAATCAATTT